CCCCTGCATTCCAGTACGTTCTGACACTAATTGTGTAAGACGAGGTCATGATGAATAGCCTAGACTAGCCTAGGCTAATGACCTGTACGTCAATAGCTTATCCTGGAGTAGAGGAAGCGTCCAGGACGGGGTACCTCTCGGCACCGAGGAAAGGCTCATCTCGGGGACCGAGGGAGGTTGCCGACCGAGGTACATATCTGACCGAGGACACGTGTCGGTTGTAAAATATACTAAATGTATGATCCTATATGACGGTACCTCGGGGGCGAGGACATTCGTGCGCCGATGGTGCTTAATCTTAGCAACAGTGTTTTAGTATACCGAGGACACGCGTCTTCATCATAGGGTATTTCAGAAAAGTCTCATCAACTACCCCCCAGCCTTCGATCTTCTGACACCGAGGACACGCGTTGTAAGGAGACGAAGGGTTTCCCAACTACCACCCGTCATTCATCATTGCCTCGAGCCGCTTTCCCCGGCTTGGGATGTCGTGCGCATTTAATTNCTGGAACAAAGAAGAACAAGTTAGAAGGGCGCCGGAGTGTTTTCCGGCGTATCCCCTCCGACGATCAAGTCAGTCTTTGAGAAAGAGAGAGGAAGGAGAATACACTGAGAATGTATTGTGGTAGAGAGTTCGTTCATGCATACCTGCTTTGCCTTTTGCAAGGAGTATTTATACCTTAAAAACTCATGATTGCTGTCAGTGTNTCAGAGTACCTCTTCTTGAATCTTCGCCGGAGTTTTGTTTCTTCTGCCCTCGTCGATTGCCCATTCTCCCTCAAAATCTTAAAGCCAGTAGACCCATCGTTGATTTCTGAACTTTCTGGAGGGAGTCGCTTTAAGGTTTTCCAGAAAAAACTCCATTTTGACGTTCGGGTGAGTTTCAGAATCCTCTTTCTTTTCTTCCTGCTAGCCTTTTGTTTTCCGATTGACTGGAGGTGTCATCCGGTCGATACATAGTGATTTAACCCTCGGGAAACTTCCTCAGGGTTTTTCAAGAACAAATACCCTCTTCTTTCTTACTTTTTTAGANCCAATAAATGCCCTGTATTAGGAGCATTTATTGCCTTTCATTTTCGAACCTTACCGCATTGAATGCGGTCTCATCAAGGGAATGGTGCAATTAATTGTTTGCTTTCCCAAGTCGCGTGTCAGCAACGACATGCAGTTTGTCTGTCTTCGATGTGATATCATACGCCACGCGTCCATCCCCTATTAGCTGTGACCTCTGTATTCCAGTACATTCTGACATTACTTATGTAAGACGAGGTCATGATGAATAGCCTAGACTAGCCTAGGCTAATGACCTGTACGTCAATAGCTTATCCTGGAGTAGAGGAAGCGTCCAGGACGGGGTACCTCTCGGCACCGAGGAAAGGCTCATCTCGGGGACCGAGGGAGGTTGCCGACCGAGGTACATATCAGACCGAGGACACGTGTCGGTTGTAAAATATACTGAATGTATGATCCTATATGACGGTACCTCGGGGGCGAGGACATTCGTGCGCCGATGGTGCTTGATCTTAGCAACAGTGTTTTAGTAAAACCGAGGACACGTGTCTTCATCATAGGGTATTTCAGAAAAGTCTCATCAACTACCCCCCAGCCTTCGATCTTCTGACACCGAGGACACGCGTTGTAAGGAGACGAAGGGTTTCCCAACTACCACCCGTCATTCATCATTGCCTCGAGCCGCTTTCCCCGGCTTGGGATGTCGTGCGCATTTAATTCGCCGTTTCGTTTCTCGTGCCCAATGATGAAAATTGCCCCTATATAAAGGGGTCTCCTCTTCCGTTTTCCTCGTTTTGCCATTTCGAACTTTCTTCAGAGTACCTCTTCTTGAATCTTCGCCGGAGTTTTGTTTCTTCTGCCCTCGTCGATTGCCCATTCTCCCTCAAAATCTTAAAGCCAGCAGACCCATCGTTGATTTCTGAACTTTCTGGAGGGAGTCGCTTTAAGGTTTTCCAGAAAAAACTCCATTTTGACGTTCGGGTGAGTTTCAGAATCCTCTTTCTTTTCTTCCTGCTAGCCTTTTGTTTTCCGATTGACTGGAGGTGTCATCCGGTCGATACATAGTGATTTAACCCTCGGGAAACTTCCTCAGGGTTTTTCAAGAACAAATACCCTCTTCTTTCTTACTTTTTTAGAGATGCCTCGTCGTCGCGCTGCTCCCGAGAATCCTCAGGCTGGTCCTTCGGGGTCGGAGAAATATAAGGTAAAAGGCGATGAGCAGACCAATAGGTTTAGGGCCAAGTACGACATTCCTCCGTGCGTAGACGTAGAGGATTTTGACCCGGTGGTGCACTCTTCTACCTTCGGGGCCGAGGATGCCATGCCCTTCTATACTAAGGCCATAATAGAGGGAGGAATTAGGTTTTCTTTACCCCATTTGCTTCTTAGTTCCTCTCTCATTTCCGCCTCTTCCCCGGGCAATGCTGCCTTAATGTCTTCCGAATAATCATGAGGGTCTTAGAGCTCAATAGGCGCCCGGGGTAAATATCGGGCTCAACGATCTCCTATTCTGTTATTCCCTCCTTAGAGTCATGCCTCACCAACACTTCTACCTCAAAGTCAGGGACCCCTCCATGTACCTTGTAACCCATCTTCCCGACTCGGACAAGGGGTACAAGGACGATATCCTAATTTTCAAGGGATCTTGGCAGAGAGGTGTTGGTCCCGAGTACAATGACTTGTTATGCCCTCTGGAATGGAGAACGACAAGTACGTCGGTTCCTTTGGGTTTATTATTTCTTTCTCCGGACTTCCCATGTTCATGACAAATTTTTTGTTTGTGCAGATATTCCTGCTTGGGAAACAGCTCCTCCCCCTCGGTCGCTAGTGAACTTTGCCGACCTAATCACGGTTTGGAGATTCACGGGTGACAACGGGTTTGGCCGTGCTGCTCATATCCTGCTGAATTATACCCCCGGATATAAGAAATTTTCACAGCTTCCGCAGCCTTTTGAGCTTTCGCAGTGGTCTGAACTCTTCGATTAGGCGGCGAGGCTAGAGGTTGAGGAAAATTTGGAGGAAGACCCGGATCGGGCTTCGGAGGCAGAGGTAGAGGGAGTTGCTGAAGAGCTCGGGGTCAGAGAGGACGCTGTTCCTTCAGACGCCGAGGTGGGGACTTCGGGAGGAGACTTGTGGCCAGACTTCCAAATTCTTCAATCCTTAGACGCCGAGGACGCTCTCAAGGCAGCGATGTCCAACACCCCTCGCATCGATTTGGGGTTCCTTAGGCAGAGGCAAGCCCTCGCAGCCGGGAGGGGTCGAGGAACNCCCCTCTCAATTTTTTTTTTTTTCTTTTAGTTAGATATATGTGTTATATATTTAAACATATATATTATGTGTGCCCTCCTCATTTATATTAGACCCACATTATTCATCCAAAATAATTAAACAATTAAGTCCATTTAACACAAAAAAATTGAACTCACTATTATCTATTCAAACTTATTAAAAAATCAAATATTTGACCTATCACAATCCACTCAAGCCTATTAAAAAAATAAAAAGCCCAATTTTAAAAACAAAATTTTTGGCCCACCATCATTAAAAAACACAATTTTTAGCCCACTTGACTAAAACCTATCTTATCTTTTTTTTTCTCTGTATCACTCACTTCCAGCTGCCCACTGCCCAACTACAAAAAAAAAAGAGAAGAAACAGAGAAAAACTCAACACACGAAAAACTTAGTTCCTTGAGTTTTTTTTTATCCTTCTTTGCACCAACGATAAAA